CTCTATGTCCTATCTGAAAAAAAAAAAAAAATTTATTTTTAGACAGAGTTTGGCTCTTGTTGCCCAGGCTGGAGTGCAATGGCACCATCTTGGCTCACCGCAACCTCCGCCTCCTGGGTTCAAGCCATTCTCCTGCCTCAGCCTCCCAAGTAGCTGGAATTATAGGCATGTGCCACTATGCCCGGCTAATTTTGTATTTTTTAGCAGAGACAGGGTTTCTCCATGTTGGTCAGGCTGGTCTCCAACTCCCAACTTCGGGTGTTCTGCCTGCCTCGGCCTCCCAAAGTGCTGGGATCACAGGCGTGAGCCACCACGCCCAGCCTCTGCAAGAATTTTTAACCTCTCACATTTCTACTCCGTATTTACCAGTCAGCAAGTTGCCACCCCCCGAGGCACTGTTAGCCGTGTGTGTGCAGATTCGGCAAAGTCATGTCGCTAGCAGCTGACTGAGTCCATGTGATAAACATACTGTCCCCAGATTGTGCAAAGTTAGTAATTCTACCTAAAATAATAAACACGGTAGTCTCTCTGTTGGCTTATCTTATGGAAACTAGGACATGTCTGTACAGGCACACAGGGCACAATGTTCTCAAAGCCAAAGAGAAACCACTGGAGGGTTACCCTTGTTTGTGTTTTTCTCCAAGTGTTGACTGTTCAAGATGTCAGCTGGAAAAGTGCACACACACAGTGATAAGGAACACTTCTGTGACTTTGGGGGCTGGCCCCTCAGCACGTTGACAGGGAGTGGGAAGAACTGTGCGCTCCAAACATTCACCTCTATTGGGTCACTGATAACTATGGTGACTTGGCAGCAAAGCAAGGAGTGCCATGGTACTCACAGAATCGCTGGCTGCGAGGGCGAGCAAAGTATCCCCTTCCACACAAACACACATCACCACCAAGCTCCGGCCAATGTCTGCAGAGACAGAAAAGCGACAGTAAGTCTACACCCTGTGGCCCTATGACCAGAGCTATTCTTTGCTTCACTAAGGGCTTTTTTCTGGCTAAGGCCACTAGTCCATGAAGCGTGATTCATTCATTCAGCAAGTATTGATTTAACACTTACTCTGTGGCAAGCTCTGGGAGTACAGAGCTGAATGGTGCCCTGCAGGACCCATGCCGGCCCTTCCTGCCACTGTTGTCTAGACCAGCCCCAGCAGGTCGGTAGGAGGCCCCGGAGGAGCTCTGTGAGGCCCGCTGTGGGGCCACAGGATGCGTGTTCCATGGATGCTCTGCCCCAGCCCTCCCTCCCTTGCAGGCTGCTGCTCTGCTTCATGTGCTGCACCACGTTGCTGTCCATGTGGCTGTCCAACACCTCCACCACCGCCATGGTGATGCCCATCGTGGAGGCCGTGCTGCAGGAGCTGGTCAGTGCTGAGGACGAGCAGCTCATGGCGGGCAACTCCAGCATCGAAGAGGCCGAGCCCATCAGTACTGTTTGCTGGAGTTCATCTGTCCTTTGCTCCTCCAACCTCCCCCGGGGTCCTCCTGCCTGGCTCCTCTCGGGAGACTGCCCAGTGTGGTGCCCACCCCAGGACCCCCTCAGCCATGCCCCCCACCTTTCCCATTCTCTTCCCTCTCCCCTCTTTCCCATCCCAGCTCTTGGACTCTGAAGCTTCCCTGAAACCCCTGTTCTGGCTCTGCCTTCCCCTTCACTTATGGGTTCTTTGCCCCCAAATGTTCAAGGGTCACTACAAAACCCTGGGACCTGTCCACATCCATGAGCCCCACTCTAGCTACAGAGCAAAGGGAAGGAGAAATAGCACCCACTCCATATGCCCCCACCCCCACCCTGAGCCCTTGAGCTATGCTCCAACCCACAGGGTCCATCCCAGCCTCCACCTCTCACTTCCTGCTTTTCTTTGCTACTTGTAGGTCTGGATGTAAACAACACCCAACCTGCTCTGGAGCTCATCTTTGTCAATGAAGAGTGAGTATGACTGCCCTCTTCCAAGACACAGCCTCTCAGAGTCCACTGGGGAGGTCAGAAAAGATGGGACCTGGACCCATGAACAGCTCTTTGAGATGTCCAGTCCAAGCTCACCACCTTGCCACCCCCACCTCTCCCATTGCCTCTTCATACCTAGGAGCCCCCTGTCAGGACCTGGAGGGTCACTGCCTTAACCACAGTGTTGCGGTAATGAGGAAGAAATAAAAAGGCCACACTGAGTCTCTGTGGATATATGAAATGTCCACACATCCACCATGCAGAATCACATCTAAATTCAGGTCCCTTTTAGAAAAATATGTTTAATTTGTTAATGGAAAACTGTTCACACATCGAAGTCACTGCAGATTCTTGGAGAATCATGAAATACTTTCTAGATATAAGATCTTAGTAGATTTGGTCTTGTTAGATATGGCAAACAAAATGTAGATGGCAGGTAGGGGATAAGGGGACAGGAGGTGAGAGGGCCATTCAATGATAAGAAGCAGAGCCAGAAAAGGAGAAACAGCCTCAGACATTTCTGGGATGAAGCTCCATTAACAGCTGATTCCATTTGGAGATTCTATTTCAAAATGTGGTCTGCAGGCATGCTGCAATGAATAGTCCACACTTAAAAGCTGGATTTGTAATACGGCTCAGCTCTGTCACTTGCCTTTGTAAAAAATGGAGAACGCACATTGAGTGAAATCAGCATTCACAGAAGGACAGATGCAGAACGGTGCCATCAAGAAATCACTTTATTTTTCTCCACCACTGTCTTCAATCATAGCATATTGGATTTCTTGATGACATCACCCTTGATGGTATCTCAGGCAAACCCTGTAGCTCTCCTGGCTCCTTTCAGGTATCATAACAATCTCCTGTTTAGACATTTGGGAGACTGATTCATATCAAAACTTCAACCTCTCACCCAAAGCTTCTCCCACACCCACCCACCCCTCAGCCTAGGCCTGCAGAAGAACGAAGGTAAAAGTAAGTGAGGGAGGGAGTTGAGCTGCTTTCTCTCTTCCTCCACCTCCCTCTTCTCCTCCTCCCCTCCCCACTGCCCTCACTCTGCTGCTTCTGACTTTTCCCAGCTTAGGACAGCAACTGTAGGGTACAAGAAAGATAAAGGGGTGAGAAGGGTCTGGCTGGGGGACTGCGGCGGTCTGGGGTTGGTGCCCTGTCTGAGATTTCAGTCCCTGGTCTTGTCTGTGGGGCAACTGCCTTCAGGGGCTTTGGAGCATCCCCTTGTGGCGCCCTCTGCAGGGCCGCAGGCCTGATGGCAGGACCGTGCTCACGGATTAACGCTCACGCCACCCTCCTGGGCCTGTGCTCTGGGGGTTCACTCCCCCACAGCCCCTGTGTTGGGGCTGCCTCTGCCTCTGGGCAGTCCTTTCCCAGATGACCCAAGAAAAGCCCATCCTCACTGTGTGGCCTTTTCTCCTCCCTGTGGCCTCTCTGGCATCAACCTGCTGGCATCAACCTGCCGTTGCCCTTTTCCATACAAAAATGTGTCCCCAAACTCCAAAAGAAAAGCCTCAATTGTCCTAGAACTCTAAGCATCCTTTGTGCTAGTGGGAACTGGGGCGTTTGCTGGGTGTGCAGACAGCACTCTTGCAGCCACCGCCTCCCGTGCTACCTGAGGGTCCCTGCCTGCCCTCCTCACTCAGTTTGGGAAGAGGGAGGGGAAGCATCACAGCACATTCTGTTTCCAGGCTAAGAACTCACTCTAAACACTTTACTCCGCACGCCTGTCAGCGTCTCCCTCCCTGACAGCCTGGAGATGGGCCGTGACTGCAGGCTCACACCCCGCCTGGGAGTGCCCAGGACACTCTATCTTCATAGTGGCCAAGCTGGTGGCACTCACTTGTCCTCGCAACTAAGACAAACTGGAAACATTCACTGATCACTCAGTGTGTCACTTACACTGATGGCTAAGGTCTCATCTTCTTCTGTCCTCAAGGCAAAGGTTGGGGACCAGAGGGGTAGGAGAGACTCACCCCCTGAGATACACTTGCTGATCAGAAGTTCTCCTCCTCCCCCATCCTCTCCTTCTCCCTTGCCTGTCCCTAGGTACAGTCTAGGACCCTGTGCTCCTGTCACCTCAGATACCTGTATCACAAGTTCCCTTTTCTAGATAGTGGTCTTCCCAGAGTCAGCCAGTGAGGACATGGTCAGAGGGCATAGGCTCTCCAGAGAGACAGACGCCTGGATGCCTACCTTCCTCCACCACTTAGCATCCCGGTGTTAAGTACTGGCGTGAATGGAGGTAGGAATCCCAGGACCATAGCTCTGTAATGAGGATTAACAATGTCTGGGGGTTCAAGCCCATACATAAGACTCTGTATTAATAACCACTCCAAGTCTGCTATTAGGAGGATTGTTAATATCAAAGGGAAGTGCTGCCCCTGCCCCACAAATCCTTACAGCATCTTAGAAGGCAAGGAAGACTAGGATCAGATTAGTCTTCTATGGAGGCCAGAAAACTGGAGTCCAGAGAGTTTAAGTCCCTTACACCAAACACCTAATGCAGGGGGACCTCCCCTCCCAGGAGTCAGTCTCACTGATGTGGCTCCCATGTCCTCTGCTTGGTTCCAGCAGGTCCACCGCAGACCACACCACTCTGATGCACAACAAGGTATGGCCTTGGGGTTTTTCTGTGCTTTGGAATCACTTGAAAATCCCTCAGCACTTCTTCATGGAAACCCAAGATTTAGCCATCCAGATTTTCAACAGCCACAGATCAACCTTAGAGTTCCTTTCAGTGAGGATTCCATTGACAAAATGTTATTATTAAAAAGGACACATTGGCTGGGCGTGGTGGCTCACGCCTGTAAACCCAGCACTTAGAGAGGCCAAGGTGGGAGGATCACTTGAGGTCAGGAGTTCAAGACCAGCCTGGCTAACATGGTGAAACCCCGCCTCTACTAAAAATATAACAATTAGCCAGGAGTGGGGGCATGCACCTGTAATCCCAGCTACTCAGGAGGCTAAGGTAGGAGACGCACTTGAACCAGGGAGGCAGAAGTTGCAGTGAGCCCAGATCATGCCACTGCACTCCAGCCTGGGCAACAGAGCAAGACCCCCATCTCAAAAAATAAAATTAAAAGGACACATTTATAGGGGAAAGCAGAGTTTACCTGCATACAGCTACTCGAACTTACCTCACTCCCCCAAGTCTGGTTTTACATCTTTTCATGAGAGGTGTAAAAGGCCAGTAAAATGGTGGACTTCAGCTGGGCACAGTGGTGTGCCCATATAGTTCCAGCTACTTAGGAGGCTGAGGCAGGAGGATCGCTGTGGCCCAGGAATTTGAGCCCAGCCTGGACAACATAGTGAGACCCTGTCTCTAAAAACAAACAAACCAAAAACTGGGAACTTGGTTATGGTGGGGTTTGTTTTCATTTTCTTTTATTTTTTTCATCTTATAAATAAAGGGTTCTTCATTAGCTAATAAAGTCCTGAAAGGCTGGTTCTCCTCTAAGGGACAGCCATGTTCTAGCTAGTTTAGAAGCCTCTTCAAGTGGAGAGCTTGATGCCAGGCTGGGCGGGAAGCTGTGCCGCGGGGCAGGCCTGGCTGAGGTGCTCTGCCCTGCATGCTCCCCCTGGCTTCTGGCCTCTCTTCCCACAGTGCTGAGGCATGGGGTGGCCCTGGGATGACTAGGTGGTCCTTCTCAAGGCACCTGGCTCACCAGCCCCACTTCCTAACAGTGAGCTGGCCTTTGTCCCAACAGAACCTGAATGGTGTGCCCTCGATCACCAACCCCATCAAAGCCACAAACCAACACCAGGACAAGAAGCAACACCCATCCCAGGTAATAGAATGGCCCCTTCTGGACCTGTTTCCTACATAAAATGCTGTGAGCTGCTTTCCAAGGGTCTTGAGGTCATAAGGGAGTCAGGCTAGTGAGCTCTGACCAGGCACTCACGACCCACATACATATCTGGCCTGTGTGCACCATGGAGATGAGACATCAAACTCACTTGACTGTAGCAAGGCAGTCCAATGCCTGAGCCCCCGTGTCTTCAACTAGAAAAGCTGGGGGTTGATGTAGATCAGAGGTCCTCAAACCCGCCTTCAAAGATGCTTCAGGGACACTGCAAATATTTTATTTGAGTATCCTAAGATTGTAAGGCAACTGAACGAATAATGGTCTTCCTGGCATGATTCCACTGAAACAAAATGCAGATGTCAAATGAATGAATGTTAAGGCTTATATAAAATATCAACTGTCACTTATGACCCTTGATTTCAAATGTCTGTGTTCATCAAAACGGTCTCACATGTTTAATGTCCATCATCATAAATAACTGCCACCATTTATTAAATGCTTATTATGTACCAATCACTGCACTCAGTATTTTTTCTCTGGTCTTGGCTCAGTGAGGTGGTGATTTTGAGCTCCATTTTTGCAAACAAGGCAGAGATGAAATCATAACCCAAGGCCAGGGAACTAGGTAGGGGAGCATTCTGATTCAAATCCAAGTCTCCTTGATCACATGCAATTAATCCTTCAATATGCTTCCAATTACAAAATTGGATGTATGCCAGTCAGGCGTGGTGACTCACACATGTAATCTCAGCACTTTGGGAGGCCAAGGCAGGAGGATCACTTGAGCTCAGGAATTCAAGACCAGCCTGGGAAACACAGCCAGACCTTGCCTCTACTAAAACTTTTAAAAATTCGCTAGCATGGTGGTGCATGCCTGTAGTCCCAGCTACTCAGGAGGCTGAGGTGGGAGGATCACTTGAGCCCAGGAGGTCAGGGCTGCAGTGAGCTATGATGGTACCACTGCACTCTAGCCTGGTCAACAGAGTGAAACCCTGTCTCAGGAAAAGAAAAAAAAAGAAAAAAAAAACAGCAGATGTATCCAATTGCTGCACTTATAATACTATTCTGTGTAAAATTTGACTGGAAGAAAGGATTGTGGAAAACCACTGGACCAAAGAATTTTTGAGGTCTGTTCCAGCTTTGATAATCAGTGGATCTTTTAGAGACCTGGAAGGGTCCAGCCATACTTCAACCCCGCTTAGGAAGACAGGGCAGTGGGAAAGGGCTTTGGGAAATACGGCAAGGTGGCCTCTTCCCCACTGGTTGTTTCATGACCTGACTTGCTGACATTTGCACCAGGACTTTCCTCGTCTCATGAAGAATCAGTGAGGGTGGCCAGGTGTGAAGGGAACAGGAGGGACTTGCTTCTTCAGGCGATGCTTGAGACCAGAGTTCAGCAACCTCTCCAACATGAAAGCCTGTCATCTGGACTAAGCAGGGCCAGAGAGGACCACAGCAAAGCCGCAGTTTGTATGCAAGGGAGAAGAAAAAGGTTGAGAGGAAAAGTCAGGGAAGGAGGAAAGAATCACACTTCAACCCTCTTCCCAGTGAAGACGAGGGTTTTATATAATCCAGGTGTATGGTTTAGTCATCTCTCCATCAGGGCTTGATGGACTTTAATGGTCAGATTTGAGAGATATTCAGAGGTAGCTTGATGGGTCTTGGCAGGATTAGAAAGGGCCTGAGGGGAAGGCCAAATCCTGTCATTCTAACTGTACAGGAATAGTGTCTGTTATTCAAACACAATGTTAGGGACACCGGTTTTACTGGAGTTCAAATTAAAAAAATCATGCCATCAAAATAACATTAATAAAAATAATAACAGCCTACTATTCATTAAATGCCAGGAAGTGTTCTAAGCACTTTGCATCTATTACTTCATTTACTCTTCACAACAATTTGGCAGAGAAAATGTGGTTTCCTCCATTTTACAGAAGAAGAAACTGTAGCTCAGACTCATGCCCAAGTTGATAAATGGTAGAAACTGGGATTTGTCTTTCTGACACCCAAGCTCAAAACCTTTCCATTGTACCATGGTGCCTCCTGCCTCTCATGCTTTGGCCAGGCAGCCCGAGCTGGGTTGGAGAGATTGGCCGATTTTCCTTTGGTAGGAAAAGCCACAAGTCCTGACCCCCAGCCCCAGGAAGCAGAAGCTGAACAGAAAGTACGGGTCCCACCATGACCAAATGATCTGCAAGTGCCTTTCCCTGAGCATCTCCTACTCTGCTACCATTGGTGGGCTGACCACCATCATCGGCACCTCCACCAGCCTCATCTTCCTGGAACACTTCAACAAGTAAGTGATTCACTCGGTCAACAAATATTGACTAACCACCGCTGTGTGTCAGGAACTGGACTAGGTGCTAGAGATATGGTAGAAAATGAGACTAGAAGAATTTCTGTAGAAAGAGGAAAAAACTGGCTGGGCACAGTGACGTGTAATACCGGCACTTCGGGCAGCCGAAGCAGGAGGATTGCTTGAGCCCAGGAGTTTGAGAACAGCCTGAGCAACATAGTGAGATCCTGTCTCTAGAAAACATTAAAAAATTAGCCAAGCATGGTGACACGCACCTGTAGTCCCAGCTACTCAGGAGATTGAGGCAGGAGAATCACAGAGCCCAGGAATTTGAGGTTACAGTGAGCCACGATCCCGCCATTGCACTCCAGCTTGGGCGACAGAACAAGACAATGTCTCTAAAAAAAAAAAAAAAAAAAAAAAAAAAAAAAAAAAGGCCCTGTGCAGTGGCTCATGCCTATAATCCCAGCACTCTGGGAGGCCAAGGCGGGTGAATCAGTTGAGGTCAGGAGTTCGAGACCAGCCTGGATACATGGTGAAAACCCATCTCTACTAAAAACACAAAAATTAACCAGGAATGGTGGAGGGCACCTGTAATCCCAACTACTCAGGAGGCTGAAGCAGGAGAATTGCTTGAATCCAGGAGGCGGAGGTTGCAGTGAGCCAAGATCGCACCACTGCACTCCAGCCTAGGTGACAGTGAGACTCTATCTCAAAAAATAAATAAATAAAAATTTTAAAAAGAAAAAAAAAACAGGAAAAATCAAGTCATTATAGCTAATTGAGACTGGAGAAGTCCAGGACTCTGCAGGGAGAGCCCTGCTTGGGGAGCTTTCTCATCTGCAGAGAGGAAATGCCTCCCCAAAGAGGCGACCATGTGGAAACCTGAAGGATGAGAGTAAAGTAGATGAAGGGAGATTATCCAGACAAAGAAAACAGTGCGTAGGAGGGCTCCGAGGCAGGACAGCAGGGCACAGAGGGTAAGAGGAGGCCAGGGAGCTGGACGGGCAGATCTCCAAGACTTGGCAAGACCCACTGAGGAACTTGGACCACATCTGAAAGGCTCTGAGATGCTTTTAAACAATTTTAAGCAGGGAGTGAGGTGATCAGATTTATAGTTTTGAAAACTCATTCTGGATGAAAAAAAAAAAAAAAAAAAGAGAGCAGATTGGAAAGGAGAAAGCAGACAGCAGGAAGGCAGTTCGCGACACTGCTGCACAGTGGTCCAGGGCAGCCGGCGGCTTGGCTGACAGCGCAGTGGGGAGGAGGAACGGTCAGCTTTAAGAGAAGCTCAGATGTCACTTGCTGGGTCTCGGGAAGGTTAGACAGGGCCTGAGAGAGGGAAAGGCTGCGTCTGCCTCTCAGGCTCTTGCCCTCTGCAGGTGAAGGAATAGAGGGAGAAGAGGAGGAATGGGGCCTTGGAAAAACTGGCATAGAGGCTGAGATGTCCAGCTGGAAACAGACCTGTGAATCTCAAGAGAAATATTCATGTTTAGGCTGAAGGCATAGATTTGGAGTGAGCAGCCTGCAGGGCTGGGGTCACGGGCGTGCAGCCTGTACAGGAACACAGGGCCACCATGCCCAGACAGGCTTCAGACTTGGTTTAATGCTCTGCTATCCCTACTTGGATATTCATAATAACCTCTGAGAAAAGGGGCCACATATTCATTTTGTCTCCTGGTAAGGGAAGCTACAGGGGTGGAGAAGATTACTTAGAATGATAGAGTAAGGAGAACAGGGAACATAAATATTAAGCTCACGTATTTAACACACAGAAGGAAACAGTATCAGATAGCAAAGAGGAAATCCAGGGAAATCTGGTGTCAGTCTACCCAAGGGAGGAAAGTGTTTCCAGAAAAAGGAAGTGCCTACGATATTAAATATCAATGAATGATGACTCAACGTGAGGATGAAAACATATCCATTAGATTTGTGACATAGAGGTTACTGGTGATGTAGACAAGAGGACCTCAGTCAATTCGTGGGAGAAACAGCCAGATTCTGGTGAGCTGAGGACTAAGATGGAGGTGAGAAAATGATCTGACTATGAAGGGAAGGTGAGACGTGGGATGATAATGAAAGGGAAGTAAGGGTCGGGCACTGTGGCTCACGCACTGTGGCTCACACCTGTAAACCCAGCACTTTGGGAGGCCGAGGCAGGCAGACAACCTGAGTTCGGGAGTTTGAAACCATCCTGGCCAACAAGGCAAAACCTCGTCTCTACTAAAAATACAAATATTAGCCGGGCATGGTGGTGGGTGCCTGTGATCCCAGCTACTCGGGAGGCTGAGGCAGGAGAATCGCTTGAACCCAGGAGGCAGAGGTTGCAGTGAGCCGAGATCGCACCACTGCACTCCAACCTGGGCAACAGAGTGAGACTGCATCTCAAAAATAAAAATAAGCAAAAGGAAAGTAAGGCAGGGTCTCTTTCCTCTCATCTGGACCATCTTGAAGATGGAGATGGGCGACATTTAAATGCTGGTAGGGATGGTCCAGATGAGAGGAAAATTAAAGATTTGGGAGAATGGGTCATTGATAGAGGGATGTCTCACACCTTGAAGAGTTTTATGCCCAGCCCCAAAAACAGAGACCCAAGGAAAATCCAACATAGGTCATTTGGCCTGAGCCTTGTCTAGGCAAAGCCATGGCTCATGTGTGGTCCATCCAGGCTCAACAGGAAACACCTGGGCTGGGGGCCACAGCTCCACCTGCTGATGAGGGAGCAGTTCCCCGTGCAAATCCCCTCTACCCAAGACCAGTGGATGTTGATAAAGATTTGGAGATTCCAAGTCCTGCTTCTTTTATGGGCACCGTTATTATGTAAAAACTTCGTTAGGCGCCAAAGCTCCAAATGCTCCGGAGTTGTGCTCCCCAATGAACACTTACATTTCTTCGGTGATTTTTAGAAACAAAGTACACCAAGCTGCTCCATATCCTGCTGTCTTGAAAACCAGATGAATAAACTTAGCAAAATATTTAAGGGCAAATAGGTCCTGAGGGTCCTGAGTCATTCTCTTGAGTGTAAAGTACATACACTTTAGTGATATGAATTTAGTGATATGCATTTTAGTTGTTTGGATGGCTTTATTTTAGCTAACTTCATGATTCTTGTCTGGGCTCTGTACAATTGCAACTGTCAACTAGCGTTTTACCATATCATAATCTATCTCCCCACTTAGCCCAGCTGTATGTTTTTTAGGGCGCATTTGACGTATTACCCCAAAATACCACATGGAAACCCTCCCTTTTGTAATTGCTGACCTGGTTCTTTGCCCTCCAGCCAGTATCCAGCCGCAGACGTGGTGAACTTCGGCACCTGGTTCCTCTTCAGCTTCCCCATATCCCTCATCATGCTGGTGGTCAGCTGGTTCTGGATGCACTGGCTGTTCCTGGGCTGCAAGTGAGTCTCAGGGCCCTTCCAGCAAAGCACTGAGGACCTCCTGTCGATCCAAAGGTCAAATAACCACAGAGGATGCCTGAGGAGAATGCAGCGGACGGGACTGAGAGTCAGGCGCTGTCTCTTCTAGACATTCAAAACATCTGTGAACTCTGAACTTCACTCTCAACTCTACAGTGAAATGTTCTCAATTCCAACTAAATGGTTAGAGAGCCTGTCCAACTTATACAAAATCTGACATGGAGAGCATTTAGCGATGTTTTATTGCTCTCAAGGCATATAGAGTACTTCCAATTACTCTAAGAAAGATGAAATAAAAAATATGGCTCCAAGTAGAATTTGCATTAGGTTTAACTTTATAGGCATGGGTGATTTATACTTAGTAGCCTGAATAAAATATGCTCATATGCCTCAAAATAACAAGTCAGTCTACTCCAACTTTGATCAGTTTCAAACACATAAGGGAAGATAACATAACGTTTTGCTATTAGTCCGTATAACCCAATGCTCCCATTGGTCAAGACTTGTCCTCTGACTTCTTTTTACTCACACTGTTGTCAAACCAGTGATGGCTATATACTTCTTAACTCCAGTATTGCCGATATAAAACAAACACTGTGTTCCTTACACACAGATATTTGTGTGTTTGTCTAGAGACAAAGCTTATCTGGAGTAAAAAATGTTACATATCTAGACACATAATGGAGTAAAAGTGTTAGTTTATACATCTAGACACATATACCACATTACACTAATTTTTCACTTATGTAAAAGACAGTAGGTAGAAACAACCCCACACAAATACACTTGCACAAGTCCCTGAGACATCACTTCACATCTGGTAATATACTAGAGACAGACCCAGCTGGATATTCCCAACAGGCTAGGGGAGAAGGTCGATGAGAGGCCAGATAACGTGGCAAATAAAAGCTGCATGAATAGGTGGGGGATAGAGGGACAGAGCATGTGAAAGAGGAGAAAAGTGACCACAGCAGGCAAATAGTTTAGTGTTTGCTTAGTATTTGATCCTCGGAAGTGTGTTTTCTTTCATCATTTGCTCATTCTCCCTTCTCAGTTTTAAAGAGACCTGCTCTCTGAGCAAGAAGAAGAAGACCAAAAGGGAACAGATGTCAGAGAAGAGGATCCAAGAAGAGTATGAAAAGCTGGGAGACATTAGGTAAACATCAGCCATTCCCCTTCTCTCCTCCTCCAGCAGAAACACAGCAGGTAAAGTGAACACAGAACCAGCCTTGTTCTTGACAGTCCCTGATGCTGGGAGAATTTTCCACAACTATGAATCAGGCATTTAGAAGATGCTATTTAATGCCAAAGCCAAGCTGGCCCAGATTTCAGGTGGCCACCCTTCCCCTTTGCTCTATTCAGAGTCCACGGTATAGCTGTGGGATAGGGTGGAGTGCTGACCATGGGGCAGACGGAGACAGAAGAAGAGAAAGACAACACAGCCATCCTCTTGGAACAAGTGAATTCCTTCCGAAGCCAGGCCTCCTCTCATTGCTCAGACACGCCACCAAAGTGGTCCAGTTGTCACTCCCAAAGAGAGGGGAGAATCTGTGCTATATTTAGGGCCTAAGGCAGTATCAAAGTCAGACTTGGAGACAGGGTCCAAGAAATCACTAACCAACCCTCAGCCGCTTCTATTAGATTTTCCACAGGGAGGGACCCAGCTTCCTATTTAGTGCTATTTCTCCTTTTATGGCAATTGGCACAACTTTGCATAAAACAATCCAGGTAGACACCGTCTTGTTTAAAGCTTTAAGTTATAAAAGGAATACACGTTCATTGTAGAACAATTCGAAAATATAAGACAGTGTAAGAAAAAAATTAAAACTGACTGGATTCTTAGCCCCCCATGTTAACAAATGTGAAGACTTCTTTCCATGCTTTTTTGTGCAAAGCTCTATGTATTTTTGGTAAAATTCAGTCCATATTGAAGCCATCGTATACCTTGGCTTTCACTGCTGAATACTGTACTGTTGGTACAGCATGTGCCCATGTCCTTAACTCTGCTGTGGAAATGGCTTTATCAGGATGCATCTCGTTTTAACACTGTCACAAAATATCACTGGCTATAGAAGATGCCTCCATTTTGTAATAGGTAATGAATGTCTTAGTATGCATTTCTGGTTAGATGATGGGAATGACCAACTTTAAAGCTTCTGATGTGTATCATCAAATGGCCTCAAAAAGGTTGTAGCAATTCCTACTCCCACCAGCACAGTGTTTGGGGGTGGCTATTTCACTGCATTCTCCTGGTAGGCTGTATTTGAAATTATTTTAGAAATGTACAGTGCTGTGTTCTCTTGCCCTTTCCACTGAAGTTTCTCCAGGGAACATGGTTAATGTCATGTTTTCTGGGACCACTCAGTCTTCTCCTTTCACTGTCAGCCACTCATAGTGGTTAGACAGTGAGTGTGTTTTATGTCTTGGGTATTGAAACTCTAAATACAGAAGCTTCCAGAAGCAAAGTTAAAAAGCTAAAAGAAATTTCTCAGTTCCTGAGTGAATCTTTTTGTTTTACTTTACAGCTACCCTGAAATGGTGACTGGATTTTTCTTCATCCTGATGACCGTGCTGTGGTTTACCCGGGAGCCTGGCTTTGTCCCTGGCTGGGATTCTTTCTTTGAAAAGTAAGCGATATCATTTCCTCCTTAAGAACCCCCTCACCCTAATTATTCGGGCAGGAACTACTGGTGTCCCTTCATAGACTCTTAGGGGCAGATATGAAGCCAGGAAGATTTCATTCCCTGGGGAATCCACTCGTTTTAACTGTGGCGGGAGGTGGGGGTGGAGGGGCTGCAGTGTGAAATCAGGAAGGAAAAACATAGTCTTCAGAGTCCTGGCGTGAGGTTGGGATCCAGTGCTGCACTTAGTCTCATTCCGTAAGCCCCTGGGATCTTGTTCATAGGTTGTTATGAGAGTTAAAGGAGAAAACATCTATAAAGTACCAACTGTAAAGAAAAGAGACCAACTTCTCACTTGAGAAGAAAGGCACATGGAGGTGTGGCCTTCATAGGAAAGAGGTCTCATCCTTTTCTATTCTCCTTTATCTAAACAACTCCACTCCTGATCGCTCCTTCTAGGACTTGCCCCAATTAACAGACTCACAAATTCACACTAAGACATCTACTCTAGCCAGGCCCTGCCTCCAGACATTCACCATTGCCCATTAAATCCACTGTGGATAGCGTGGCAGCAACTGGCAAGAACTAAGGTTAATGTCACCTCTAGACTAAGTCCTAAAAAGAGGCACTGTGTTCAGACATACTGCCCTGAGACATCGTGTTACTCCTGAGAATTCCTGAACCTTCTCCTCAGCTATGCTTGTCTCTTTACTAGGAAAGGCTACCGCACTGATGCCACAGTCTCTGTCTTCCTTGGCTTCCTCCTCTTCCTCATTCCAGCAAAGAAGCCCTGCTTTGGGAAAAAGAATGATGGTGAGAGAAGGCTCAAGGGAAGAAGTTGGGGGTGGCTCTAGCTGAAGAATACTCAAATCAGAATAATACTCCCAACGAGATTTACCAAGGTCCTTCAGATTCCTGCCCCTACAAATAGCAGAGCAGTATCCCAAATCATCCACCTCACCAATTAGGCTCCTATCTCCACAAATCATGCCCATCGGGGCTTATCTGGCTTTACATCTCTCTAATCCAGGAGAGAACCGGGAGCGCTCACTGGGGACTGAGCCCATCATCACGTGGAAGGACTTCCAGAAGACCATGCCCTGGGAGATTGTCATTCTGGTGGGGGGAGGCTATGCTCTGGCTTCTGGTAGCAAGGTAACTCTTGAATTCTGTTCTTATGGGTCAAATACTTTTCGAGCATCTTTACCTAATGAGTCATTATGGCCATGGGAGGGAAGACTCGAGCTGAGAAGTAAATGTTCACCGAGTCCCTGGGAAGGGAAGCAATAGAGCAGGATGGATGTCCTCTCCTGCCCTAAGCTTCTCAGCGCTACTAGGAGCAGAGGAACAATCAGCCGTGCCACACAGTCATGACACATGGGCAATGATACCTCAGCTACGGGGCCCATGCTGCTACAAGCAAAATGTTTATTGTAGAGTTTGTAGCCATCTTCTTCTGGGATTTGACAGTATCAATAGGAGATGGTGACAGGAGATGACAAAGGTAATAGGTAATAGGAGTGGTAATAGGAGATCTCTGTAACGGACTAGAGATGCTCCAAGTGATACATGGTGAACTGTCTGTCCACAATACATAGGCTGAGCCCCTTTGGAAAATCTAGGCTAAAGCTGATGTAAATGTAAATGCTTCTGGATTTTCTGATTGGGAAAATTTGGGATGAGTTTTTTTTTTTTGAGACCAAGTCTCACTCTGTCACCAGGCTTGGAGTACAGTGGTGCAGTCTTGGCTCACTGCAGCCTTCACCTCGTCGGTTCAAGTGATTATCCTGCCCCAGCTTCCTGAGAAGCTGGCACTAGAGGTGCGCACAACAGACCCAGTTAATTTTTGTATTTTTAGTAGAAACGGAGTTTCGCCATGTTGGCCAGAATGGTATCAATCTCTTGACTTTGTGATCTGCCCGCCTCGGCCTCCCAAAGTGCTGGGATTACAGGCACGAGCCACTGCGCCCAGCTTGGTTCACTTTTGATGGCCAAAAATACTATCTGCATTATTACTAATAAGGTCACAAAATACTAGACTATGGAGAACCTTAGAAAATAATGAGTCCTATCTCTTACCCACGGTGAGATTTGCCCCCATGGTACCTTGGCTTGGACACTTCCAGTGACAAAGTACTCCCTATTCAGGCAACAAAGAATAGCTGTTCCTCATTTTCAGCTCAAGTCTTCTGCATGTGGTCTGTCTACTGTTAGCTCTAGCTCTGTTCTCTGGGACCCTCTCCTAGCTAATAATTATTAACATAAAAAAATCAAGAAGTAGTGACCCATACCATCTGGTCTCTCTCCTCAGGACTCACTACACCTGGCCTTATTCAAACATGGTCCACAGGGTGGTCAGT